TAATAGAAATAAGATCTCATATAGAATAATTATCTTTCTCTTTAGATTATTAATTTTATAATCTTCTATCTTTAGGGTTAGAATAAATATTAGTTATAGTGATTCTTATTAGTAGGCCTATTAAATAAGCTACTAGAATTTATATAAAGACTAGGTAACTTCTTTAATATATTTGTAATAAGTAGTTATCTTAGCTTAAGTACTATAATACTCTAGTTAATATACTATATATTAATAAGCTATAATATCCTCTTTAATACTATTATAGGCCTATTGATATATATGATTAATTTATACTTATAGCTAGGCTAGCTCTATTATATATCTTATATAGAAGTAATAATAAAACTAGGCCTTTAGTATAATACCATTAGTAGCCCTAAGAATAATATAAATAAGATATTTCATAGTATAATTAGCCTTTTAGAGGGTTTCTAATATTTATAATAGTATAAGAGCTATTATTAGTTCCTTTTAGAAGGCCCTTTAATTAGTTTTGTACTAATTTTAATATTATATCTTATTTTATAATAGAAGTATAAGATTAAATTTAGTAATAATACGTATATAATCTATTATATAGAGCTATCCTTAGTAGGCTTAGTATTAGACTAGCTAGTCTACTAACCCTACTAAGGCCTATACTAGATTAATTATTACATATTATAGCTGCCCCAATACTATTCTTTTATATATTATTATTCTATAGGGTATAAGTAGCTTAAGACCTACTATCCCTAATATATTAATTAGGTTACTTATATATAGCCTTATACTAATATTAATACCCCTAGTATATCTATATTATATAGATTATATCTTTAGATTAAGGCTCTTATTAATATATAAGTAGACCCTAGAGGTATCTATTCTAATACTTACTAGGGCTATCAGCTATAATAAAATATAGAAGTACCCTCTAGGGCTTATAAGTAGATAGTTACTAGTATACTATATTAGTTAATACTTAGTTTCTAGATAATTAAAATATTAATCGTATAGATATCTTTCATACTAAAGAGGTATATTAACACCTATATATATATAAATATTAGATATTAGCCTATATAATTTAGAGCTTAGGGATTGATAATAGTAGGCTTTCTTACTACTACTATTATTATTAGTATTTATAAACTAGTCAGTATTAATTAATAGCTTATCTTCTAACTTACTATTAGCCTAGCTCCTATTCTTAGATATCTTAGATATCTATATAAGAACCTAATGAAAGAGGGTAGTCTCTTCTTTCTCTTTATCCTCTTATACTAAGTCTAGTTGGAAGGATTCCCTATTCTAGTTAATTTTAATAAGTTAAAAGGCCTACTATGTAAGGATCGCGAAGGTCTATTATGTATTATATTAAAGCTACCTTCACAGAGGAACCTACTAATAAGAAGGCTTCTTATAAGAGGTCATAGAAATAGTAATATAATCTATAAAGATATAAACCCTGCCTATAACTACTAAACTCTAAAGTTTAGTAATAATCTCTCTAAATAAGGATACCTATATTTAAATCTATTTATAATTATTTTTCTTTCATACTGGTTTCTAATTCTCACAACATTCTTCTTTCACACTAGTTTCCAATTCTCGCGGATCATAGATCCTTATACTTTTCTACCTTACTCTATTATTGTCTATATATTTTATAATATTAGCTTTAAAATAATATTGTAACTAGCTACTCTATAATATTTAATAAGAAATATACTAGCCTTAATAAAAAGAATATAATATCTAGAAAGAGAAAAAAGAATAAGTTAGAAGTAAAAGCTAATAAAGATAAAATTAAGAAGATTTTTTAGTACTCTAAATTAATTATAGATATTAATAATAATTATATTAAATCTAATACTAATACTAATATTAAGCTAGATAACTAAGAAGATAATAAGTCTATTATTAATAATATAAAGAAGCCTAAAATCTATATAATTAGAGTATTAATTAAATATCTAATTAGACTAGTTAATATTATATACTTTCTCCCTAAGAGACTTCTATTAAAAAACTAGATTACTAACTAAGATCCTATTTAATATTCTTAATAAGCCCCTAACTTAGAGAGAGGTATATATATCTATTATAAAAATTAGTATAATTAGAGTATTTAAAGCTACTTATATAATATATTTAGTCTTTCTCTCTATAGTATATAAAGCTATTTTCCTCTACCTAAAGTTAATTAAACCTTAGTATAGGTATATTAATTTTAATAGCTATTATATTAAGCCTAAATATATCTACATAGACCCTACCTATATTTAATACTTATTTAACCTTAACAGGGCCATAGAATTTCTTAAAGAATATATAAAGAATATAAAATATAAATTAGATATATTTACCCTAGAGACAGTATATTACTATATATATAGATATAACTAGGAGCTCTCTCTAATTAAATAGACTTATATCTAATATCTTAATTTTTTTATATATTAGATTACTAATATTAATATTACTACTATAGATTAGTTTAAGATAATATAGAATAATTTAGAGCCTCTATCCCTATAATATATAAGTAGACTTAATAATATTATTTAGATTATACTATAATATAGAGTTTATAACCTCCTAGCTAAGCTCTAGGTTCTTATATAATATACTAAAATTAAGATAGTCCTACTAAAGATAGAAAAAGCTATCTATATTACTAGATAAGAGGAAAAGGCCCTTACTAAGGATAATAATAATATTAATAATAATAATAAATTATAAATACTATTTATAGAGCTACTAACCCCTACCTATATAATAATATATATTCTATATATTAGGTTAAAATAGTATATTACTTAGGTAATTAAATATTATAAAAGTTAGATTATAATTAAATATATTTCTTAAATACTTAATAGGTACTATATAGTCTTTAGTCTAATTCTAAAAAAGAATATTAATACTATATCTAAGAATAAATAAAGATAAATAAATTTATTTAATTATAATACTAAGTTTACTAAAGCACTAGAAGAGGACTTTATTAAATATTATTAAAATAAACTTATTATAGTATTATATATTCTTCTTATAACTATATTAAACTTTACTATTAAATACTTCTTTACTTAATATATTAGATAATTATATATTAATCTTAAAGCCTAATATTTTAACTACTCTATAGATAAATATATATAGCTTAATATACTACTTACTAAATATAAACTATCTTATATATTATAGAAGAATCTTAATATTATTTACTATAAGTTTAGTAGTTAATATCCTAGACCCTATCTCTAAAATAACTATATTTTATTTTATTACTAAATTACTATATATCATTCCCTATTCTCTACTATTTAAAATAACTATATTCTATTTTACTATTATTCTACTAGACTAAGGTATTTCCTTTTTTTTCTTTCTTTTTTTTTATTAAATTATAGTTAGGCTCCACCTTTTACATGATGGGGATATTATTATAGTCCTACCACTATATATAGTAAGGAGTTAGTTATATAACATAATAAGATATCCCTATAGCAGAAGCTATAGTAAAAGGAATCATCTTTAGACCATTAACTAAATCCATCACCACCTTTCATGGTTTTATGACTACCATCATAACAAGCTTACACTAATAGCTTATTAAAGATAAACCATGTATTTAGATATTAGTAGATTTATCTTATCTTTATATATCTTAATATAGATTTAATAATATTAAGAATTAATATCTATAAAAAAACCTCATTAAGTTATTAGTTTAAATAATTAATAAAAAACCTAGTTTAATAATTATTAATTTAATAACCCCTACCCTAGTTCTTCTCTATTTTTAGTAGATATTATATATAAATTATTAAAGCTATTTATTTTAATTATATAACTTCTTAATTTAAGATTACTAATTTTAGATAGGAGTTTCTAAATTTAATATATTTTAATTAAATCTTCTAAAATAAGATAGTAATACCATATAACTTGTATTTATTGTCTTTTTATTATTTTTTGTAGATTACAGCCTTCCCTTTTCTCTAAATTAATAATCAAGTAATTAAGTTACTATATTAATTATTACTTAATATTAGGGAAGAGTAGAAGTAATTGCTTTATAGATATAAGATTTAGTCCTTCTATATAGTTATAAATGATATACTCTTCTTTAAATATATTATTAGATATAATATATTATGGTAAAATAATAATTAAAGGTAGTAATTAATATCAGGGGGTTACCTACTATCTTTCTTTTTTTTTACTTCTTTAGTACTATTTATAATATTTTATATTATCTGTCTATCTAATTAAGAGATAGAAAGAGAGAATATAAATATATTAATTTAGGTATAGGAATTATTTTATTTACGGATATAAATATAATATTAGTATCTAGATAGGTTAAATATTATTTATCCTTACATAGAGGAATTCTTCAGTTTTAATTCAGCAGTTATTTAGATTTGAACTACTGTTAGAATCACATCGTTAGTATTTAATAATATTAATATTTAATATACATGCTATTCAAACTATATTCATAGGGATATCCCAACTATAGTTTAACTTCATAATATACTAATAATATCTACTCTATGGAGATAGTGGTAGTAAGTAAATATAAGTAGATGACAGTAAAATGACTATTGTGGCAGCTTTATAGCTATAGTCCATCGTAAAAAGGATGATCTCTTTACTACTATCTAGAATATCAGGCAGGATACTGCCCTGCAGTGCCGCCTGTGGCTACCACTTATAGCCTTGTTCTAACATTGGTTTCTAAAGTGATTTACAACTAGATAGTTATATCAATATATATAATGTAACATGTGACCCTGCACTATGCTATAAATATAGCCTTGTTACTGATAGTGAGTGTAATGATACTCTGTAAATGATCTCATCAGATGGGTCTTGGCAAGGTATATATGCACAACTAATGATTATGTCAGATAGCTGCTGGACAAATATCAGAACCAGTGGTCTATGAAGTAGGCAGACATAACTTCACATTTCATTGACTATATAACATACATTCTATGATGGCACAGCACAGAGAGACTAAACATGGACTGTATGACAGAACTGATACTGTTATGGTCAAGAGAAGGAAGGTTGTTGGGCCCACCTTGCCATCACTGTGTGATACCAACAAACTGAGAGATAAAGCGAGTGATGATAATGGCAGCATTGCTGCTCTTAATCATCATAATGATAGTGATCAGGATAGCGACAACGATGAGGATCGCGAAGACGAGGAGGACGATGATAGCTACGGGCCCAGCCTGCCCCCCTTGGCTGCTTCTACCGCTCCAACCCAGCCTCAAGTTATGGGACATGATACATCCGATGTTCGAACACATGACCAGGCCGCTCATGGCAATGGTATGAAACGAGATGAGTGGATGCTACAGCCCCCTCAATCACCTGCCATATACGCGAATCATCTACCTACTAAGCTTGAGAACCGGAAATTTCAAGGGGGCAAGTCCGCGAACAAACCACCAAATGCCGGAGTGGATGCATCTTGGACAGAGACACCAGAGCAGAGATTGAAGCGCCTGCAGGATGAGGCAATGGGCCTGTCGCCTACCATTTTGAAGAATGGGTGTGGTCCAGGCTCCAGAACTTCACGACGAGTAATGGGATTGGACCAGAACCCACGCCCGTGCAACGTAAGTGGTGATAGTGATAGATCACCACACGGGCTTCTGACGGGAGCTGAAAAAACCATATGCGAGAATGAACACTCGATGCCCAATAAACTGCCTCCGCTTTACTCGAGCGGGGATAAACCGTCCGTGAATGATTTTCCGAGTAATCGCTCTTTCGACAAGACAACTGATATGGCGATGTCTCCAATGTCTGGCTCGCAGCGGCAGCAGATTCTGAACAGGGCAACTAGCTCGGCTTCCCGGTTTGCCCGTGGGAGATACTTGTAATAAGCTCGAGTCACAGTTATGCTTTCATGATGCGATCAGAATCAGACATTGTGAACGGCATGAATATTCACATTGAAATATGTGATTTGCTTGAATATTGAAATCACCTTCCTTGGCTATATGGGATAGAGGATATATTATTACTTCAGATGTGAAACCCCCTTATGACACACAACTAAAAAATGGCGGGTGAGAGCTCATCGACAACCTTGTTTTGCTAAAGAGCTACTAGTAAGAGATATTATTAAATATATTGGATATATATAGGATAAGTAGGCTAGCTATACTCTCCCTAGTGTACTAAGCTATATAAATAAAAAAAAAACTCTGGCCAACACCAAAACCCCCCTACCATTCATTTTTAGTCAGGAGAATGCTAAGAATTATATTTAACTACCACCTAAGTAGTTATTACCTAGCTTTTCTATCTTACTATTACTTATTATAGCATAACAAGTAATAAAAAGAAAAAGGGGGCTCGTATAGTAGTAGGAGCCTCTATACTAATTTAGTCTGGTATATTATTTAATAAATTTAATAACCTTAATCTATAGGCCTATTTAACTAAGCTAATAGAAGCTATTATATAGTTCAAATAAACTACTTAATCTATCAAGGCCTCCCCCTATTAATAATATTTATACTACTTCTAGATTTCATTTAGTCCCTAGCTAGTAAGATATATAATAATAATCTCTCTAAGTTAATAAGAGAGGTCTATAATATTAAATCTATACTTAAGAATTCTATAAAGAAGTATACGAATAACTACTAGAAGATCTAGTAATTATTAGATATCTAGGTTAGTATATCTAGCACCTTTAAGTATATCTTTATTATAGCTCTTTTTAGTAGCTACATAGAATCTTTATTTATCTCTAATTAGATAAGATAGATCTATACTAATAGTATACTTATTAAAAATTATTGTACTAGTATAAAAGAAGAAGATTTAAAGAGTATTTCTGCTTATAGGTATACTATAAATAATAATAAATATATATAGGAAGCACAGGGGGTGTCTTTAACTAGACTAGGATTAGTATTACTATAATTGAGTCTAATACTATTATTACTAGAAGTATCTAGTAGAGTAATTAGTAAGACTTTAAGTCTTAATATAGAAGAATCCCTTAATATTAGAGCCAGATTTATGATTATTAATAGTGCTCTTAATCTCAATATAGATATAGTATACTCTAGTATTTATAAGATACTCCTACTATATCTACTAGTATAATCTCTAACCTAATAATAATATTACTAGTCTATCTCTATATAGTGTAAGATAATTATCAGAAATATTCTAACTATAGTATTAATAAATTAATAAGAAAGGACCTAGTTAGAAGGAAAATATTTAATATTAGCTACTATAGATACAGAATATAATCTTATTACTTATGGTATTAGTTCTTAGGTATATTATTAGTAGTAATTAGTCTTAGTAGGGGATATCTTAATATTTTACTAGTATAGTATCTAGATATAGTAAGTAGTAGCTAGTATAATATTATCTAAGTTATGTGTGTATCTATAATTAGAGAAGTAGAATATAATTATCTAATAAGTAAGCAGGATGGATCTTTAGGGCATAGGGTATAATATATAAACTAATTAGGGAGTAATATAGAAGTAGATAAATTCTAATTAAATCTGATAAAAAAAGGGAAAATTATGATAGAAAGATATAGGAGAAGGTGATAAAGATGATGCTTCTATAGGAGTCCTATATAATTAATTAAGGTTAGTTTAATGCTCAGTTACCCACACAGAATAAAATAACTAGAGAAAAGTAATTAGACAAACCTAGGGGCTACTAGAAAGAAAAGAGGATGTGCTACTAAATTATTATGATGGTAGTTATAAAAGTATAAAAGGTGGTGATGGATTTAGTTAATGATTTAAAGATGATTCCTTTTACTATGGCTTCCACTGTAGGGATATCTTATTATGTCACATTACTGACTCCTTGCCACATACGGTGGTAGGACCATAACAAAGCCTCTAGAATTTATAGACCTTATTAAATAGATAGTAATTAGAGTATTTAATAAATTTAATTATATAATTAATTCTAATATATTAGTAGTCTTAAGCCTTAATTAACTTATTTAACTAATATTTAAGATCTTTAATTTAGCCATACTACTAAATTTTAAAAAATATATATATATATATATATATATTATTTAAGATTAGCTAAAAATAATTAAAGAATATTTTTAAAATATAGCTTAAAAATACTTGGAAATAGATATAATAAGGATATCTTGTAAGTTAATATTAAATATTTATATAATAGGATAGTTTTAGGAATAGATTCTTTGGTATTTTAAAGAATATAATACTAATACTAGAAAATAGAAAGAATATAAAAGATCTTTATGAGATGGAATTACCATGGTTATGTGATTTCACTAAGGGTGAGGAGAGAGGTAGGCTAGGCCTTACCCTCTTTCACCATTAGAGAGGGTACTCGTATTTATATCTATAATATCTAGTTACTTTATATAATAGATAGTCATAGATATTACAGAGATTTCACTATTAATCTTAGATTACTAAGATTAACCTAGATATCTACCCCCTATTACTACTAATATATATTCACTAATATCACATCCTCCCCTACCTAAAGTAAAGCCTATCCTTAGCACTAGTAATTATAGAATTATTATATAGATTACTATTTTATAATATAAGAATATTAAAGTATTAATATTTAGCTATTTATAAGTATTATTTAATACTTAGAGAGAGTAGCTTCTATAGGTTAATATTAATTTATAGAGATATCTTAAGTATAGAAGTAAGAGAAGAAGTTATATATAGAAAGTAAGAGAAGATTACTAGTATATTTATTATAGTAGAAGTAAGATAAAGTTATATTTATTACTTATTTTAATATTATAGTAGTAACTTTACGTCTTCTTATTTCTTTTAAGCTTATCTTTTTCTTCTTCTTTCTTTTTCTTTTTTTTCTTTCTTATCTCCTTCTTCCTTATCTTACTATAATTAAATATTATTTATATTCTTTTTATTATTACTTAGCTTAGTAATTCTATTCTTAGTTTACTTATATAGCTATATTAAAGATAGTATTACTAGCTATTTATTATAATAATATTATTACCTATATTAAGTGGAGTAAATAATCCCTCTTTATCTTAATTAATAAACTAATATATCTAGATAAAATAAGAACCCTACATAGTGCCCCTAATATTTTACTAGTAAAGTTAATAAATCTAATTTATAATCTAGATTAGTATTTTAATCATAAAGGAGAACTATATGTAAAAGATTTCTATAAAAAAATTAGATATCTACTACTCTACTTTAGACCTATAATAAAGTCTATAAGAATAATAAGTATAAGGCTTATTGATAAGATGAAGATATCTTTCTTATCTATATATTAGCCCCTATATATAATAATTATACCTTATTTATAGGCTCCTATAGTAATTATATTTAGAGTAATAAGAGTACTAGATATTTATTCTAAATAAAAGATCTTTAGCAGTAGTTAGATACTATCCTTAATAAGTAAGTTATTATAAATAGTATACTCTTTTCTCTAATTAATAATAATTATTATACGTAGATTATTTATTATAATAAGCTAGAATATATTACTAGCTATATCCCTCCCCTTACCAATATCCTAGTTAAGGATATTAAGATGATTAATTAATATTAGTATTAATAAGGATACTTCTAAAGTTTATTTATTAATAATAAGAGTAATTTCCCTACTTCCTCTATTACTAAGAGGGCCTAGACTACTTATTCTATTCTTATTTTTATTAAAGTTTACATATTAGTAGCACCTATTTCCTTACTCTTATTAGCTAGTAAATCTCTTTTTAATAATAATCTAGTTAGGATTACATAGCCTTTAGACTATAGTAAATCCTTTATTACTATAGTAACCCTAGTTTATATCTTCTCTTTAGCTCCTCCCCTATCTAGGGATACTCCTCTACTAAAGCTAATAAAAACTAATTATTATTTTGTTTTTCTTACTCTAAAGTTTAGTTACCTCTTTATCTTCTCTACTATTATAAAGAGGATTTATACTATTACTTTTATTATTTTTATAAAAGAAGTTTAATATATTATCTTAATTATTCTAAAAAATATAATTCCCTCTTCTACTTCCTTAACCCTAATAAAAGCTACTTAATCTTCCTCTTTTATTATTTTTATAGATTTAGCTCTAGTGAATTTTTAGCTAGAAGAATCTTTATAATAGTATTTATCTACTATAGCTAATAAGCTATACTAACTAGAGTAATAGTTAAAAGCTTATAATAATTTATAAGGATCTAAAGATATTTACTTATTAGATTAAGGATTAGGTTACTAAATTAACATTAGTTATTAAAGATAATAATTTATTTTAGTAGGTAGATGCCGTATTATATAGTCTTAATAATATTAAGTTTAATATAGATTTTTAAGCTAGTAAGACCTATCTTTATTAGTAATTAATATAACTATTAATATCTTATATAATTAGTTTTTCTTTATAATTAGTAAACTCTACTAATTATTATTTTCTTTTTTTCTTAAGAATATAGTTTGAGTATAGTATTACTTTCTAATTTTTATCTATATAAATATATTATCTTTATACTACTCTACTTACTCTTAATATAGAGGTAGTATAACTATAAATAGTCCTTTAAAATTTATCTCTCTAATATTTCTTTAAGATATTAATCTCTTTAGCTCTATACCTAAGATTACCTCCTGGTTCTTATTGTCTAAAATAATTAAGTCTCTACTATCTTATAGTATTAGTTACTCTATTCTGTATTATATAAGTTAGTTATTTATTATTAATTTTCTTTTATTAATATATTAAATTTTATACTTGCTTATTTTATATAGCTTTACTACTCTCTGTATTATCTATTATAGATATTCTTCTAAATATTTCTATCTATTATATTCTACTACTATACTTTATAATAGTTCTTTATATAATAGTATTAGGGGGTTAGCTTTATTAAGTATCTTCTATATCTTAATTAGGTTAGTAATTAATAGGCCTATCTTTTATAGCCTTATATTTAGGCTTATTTATATTTATAGGCACTAGGGATCCTCTTTTATATCTATTTTTATTAGTTGTTACTTATTAATTAGGTTCTTTAGGTTATATCCTTCTAGTTCCTATAATATATATATTCTAAGTAGGTAGGCCTTAATTATTATATATAGTTTAAATTACTTATTCTTAAACTTTTAGAGGCTCTTATTTTATATACAAATTTATTAGTCCTTCTTTAAATAATATTATTTTACTTATATAGTATAGATTATCTCCCTCTTTATTATATACTCTAATAGCTTCTTATTTATTAATATCTATATGTAAGTTACTCTTACTAGCTTATTATTATTATTTATCTCTAGACGGTTCTCTATATTATCTAATAACCTTAG